CATTAATCACAAATTTTAAAAGAAAATGTTTATATGATCTGTAGTAAAAATGCTGATGTAGAGTGTACTTATCTTGGTACTATGTAAGACAGAAGTTCCTATGTATTCCCACATTTCCTCCTCCTGTGCTCTAATCTTCATTTTTGATTAGAAAAGTTTTTGCCCTCCATTTCAATATGAGAGCCAAATCTTATTACCAACCCTTCATTAGTTTCAGACAGGCATTCAGTCACGCATCTTCAACCATTTACTTCCATTGTCTTGCTGACAAAAGCCCTAGGGTGTTATGCCTGGCACAGAATACTGCAGTGTCACAGTTGTGCATTTCCTGTATCCATCCCATCTTCATTATTAAAATACCAAGAACGAGTCTGTTCTCAATTACATAGGCATAATCCAGATTTTACACTGCTGTAAGAGTAGATGATGGTTCAAAATCCTCCATAAACTGGTTGTTTTCTCAGTGACAACTTTAAGATGACTTTTAACATAATTTTAAGTCTTTTTAATGAAGTTATTGCTGTTGCCACTCCTACTGGCCTATTCACCTCCTTATTCCCTCTTTAGGGGCTAGTGCTGACTGTGATTATCGAATGTTACATCCAGCAATGCTGATTTACCCAGTGAGGTAACCAGTCGGTGTTGCTTTTTGTAATCAACTCTCACGTGTCTGAATCAATTAGACTACTCATGCAGTATAGTTATACTCCACAACAAAGTTAACCAAGTCAGGGTTACTGTGTCAGACAAAGCAGACTAGACAGTTTTGGCAGATGGAACAAGCTCAGGGCGGCTGGCTCAGGCACTGATGAACAAATGGAACACTGTACTTATTGTTGTATGAAAACTCCATTAACTCCCCTTACGTGAAGTAATCATCAGAAAAATGTGGGTTAATTGAGAATTGTTGAAGGACATTTAACTAGAGGCCCAAAATGCCACAATTGTAGAATTGAGGAAGAAAGTCATATTCGTTAAAAATCTGACCTGATTTAGAGGGGAAGTGAAGGCAGCTATAAAAAATAAAATATGCCAAATGGAAGGAGGAAGTTGATAGCAATGAAAATAAATCAATCACTAGAAATTGTAGAAAATTGATAAGGGAAGCAAAGGGACACAAAGAGAACTCTATGGCCTGCAGAGTTAAGGATAATAAGGAGCAGTTTTTAAAATATATTAGGAACAAAAGGCATCCTAATAAATATTTCCCATTACTAGATGGAAATGGTAGAATGATCAATTATAATGCGGAAAAGGCAGACATGTTCAACAGAAATTTCTGTTCTGTATGTAGGAAAAAATACGTCATGGCATATGATAACTCTCTTTCCATTCCACTAGTATTTCAGGAGGATGTTAAATAGCAGCTACTAAAGTGAGACATTTTAAAATCAGGTTTAAATAACTTGCATCCAAGAGTTTTAAAACAGCTGGTAGAGAAGCTCATTGGACTGAATTTTCAATAAGTCTTAGAATACTAGGAAATTTTCAAGAGACTAAAAGAAAGCTAATTTTGTGAAACTATTTTAAAAGGGTAAATGGGGATGACCCAGGTAATTATAGGTCTGTCTGTCTGACACTGATCCTGGACAAGATAATGGAGCGCTGATATGGGACTCGCTTAATAAAGAATTAAAAGAGGATATGGTAATGCATATCAACATAGGTTTACTCTGAGTTGGCTTCTTAAATACCTTCATGCTGTTTTACATCTGATATTCCTTGATGAAACATAGGAGCCTTGTCTTATAACAGGCCTATTCAAAATGATACGAGCTACGAAAGTGAGATCTTGGAAGAGTGTTGCCGTTTTCATAATGTAATACAAATACTGTAATGATAAATAATAAAGTGTGTAATAAGCATGTCATAAAAACAAATTTTATATTTCCAAGATCACTGCTTTTATAATTTATAAAAAGAACAGGAGTACTTGTGGCACCTTAGAGACAAACTTCTTCGGATGGGCTGTAGTCCACGAAAGCTTATGCTCTAATAAATTTGTTAGTCTCTAAGGTGCCACAAGTACTCCTGTTCTTTTTGCGGATACAGACTAACACGGCTGCTACTCTGAAACCTTTATAATTTATACTCAGGTAAAGGAGAAAATCCCTGGAAATATTCATTTTTAGGAGGGGGTTCGCAAGACAACATTTTAGCGAAAGGGGTTCACAGGTTGTTAAAGTTTGGGAACCACTGCATTAAAGTATAATATAGGTGCTGGAAAAAAAATATCTATTTGTGAAAAGTATTAATTTTTTTCCAAAAAGTATCTTGTAAACTTTGTATGTGCTTTTTAAAGTTTTTTTTAATGTCAAATTTTAAAACTGGTATAAAATCTATAGTAACAATAAATTAACTTTTTAAATAATTAAGTTATTGTAAGAATTTGTATTTGCACACAACTGCAATCTCTAACTGTTAAGTGGTACTAAAGAGAAGTCACAGGTGACATCCTGAGAGGAGAACTGAAGTGTCGTATATACTCGTTTATTAGCCCATTTGTTCATAAGCTGACCCCCAAAATGGATACGTAAAAATAGCAAAAACTGTATGACCCTTTCATAAGCTGACCCTATATTCAGGGGTTGGAAAACTTTGGCTCCCGGCCCGTCAGGGTAAGCCGCTGGCAGGTTGGGACGTTTTGTTTACCTGGAGCGTTCACAGGCACAGAGCTTCAGGTAAACAAAACAACAATGTATTAGACATTCAATTCAATGATTCCATAGAGTTTAAAATCATCAAATTTTGGTGTAGACCCTTTTATAAGCTGACCCCCGCTCTTTGATGTGTTACTTTTTAACCAAAAATATTCGGCTTATGAACGAGTATATACAGTAATTCATTTTCTGTGTTCATTTATTTGTCCGACAGCTAATATTTATAAGTGCCTGTCGCTTATTTACATTTGGTAGTTGACAGGGTGAGCATGCAAACAAATATGTCTCTCAGTGGATGACACCTGAGTCCTGAAACTTACTTGATAGTAGTTTATTTTTAGATGTTAAGTTTAAGAAACTTTCTAGACCTCCATAGGTTCAATTCTGCAAATGAGACTACTTGCATTAAGTAGCACGTCTAGGTATCTGACCCCAAGTGATCACAAACATGGAAAAGCTTCCCTGTATCTGAACATAAGAACGCCCATACTGGGTCAGACCAAAGGTCCATCTAGCCCAGTATCCTGTCTTCCGACAGTGGCCAATGCCAGGTTCCCCAGATGGAATGAATAGAACAGGTCATCATCAAGTGATCCATCCTGCCACCCATTCCCAGCTTCTGGCAAACAGAGGCTAGGCACTCCACCCTACCCATCCTGGCTAATAGCCATTGATGGACCTATCCTCCATGAATTTATCTAGTTCTTTTTTGAACCCTGTTCTAGTCTTGGTCTTCACAACATCCCCTGGCAAGGAGTTCCACAGGCTGACTGTGTGTTGTGTGAAAAAATACTTCCTTGTTTTAAACCTGCTGCCTATTAATTTCATTTGGTGACCCCTAGTTCTTGTGTTCACTTCCTTATTTACTTTCTCCACACCAGTCATGATTTTATAGACCTCTATCATATCCCCCCTTAGTCATCTCTTTTCCAAGCTGAAAAGTCCCTGTCTTATTAATCTCTCCTCATACAGAAGCCATTCCATACCCTTAATCATTTTTGTTGCCTTTTTCTGAATCTTTTCCAATTCCAATATAGCTTTTTTGAGATGGGGCGACCACATCTGCATGCAGTATTCAAGATGTGGGGATACCATGGATTTATGTAGAGGCATTATGATATTTTCCTGTCTTATTATCTATCCCTTTCTTAATGACTCCCAACATTCTGTTCGCTTTTTTGACTGCCGCTGCACATTGAGTGGATGTTTTTAGAGAACCATCCACAAGGACTCCAAGATCTTTCTTGAGTGGTAAGTTAATTAGACCCCATCTGCAATTCTAATACACGTTAAGTACTGCTTGCAATCTTACCCTGCAGACTACAAGACTAAAACAGGCCAAAACACGACTGTAAAACAAAACTGGTCTAAAGTGTAAAACATAAGAAGGTGAGGGTGAAATCTGAATTCCACCTCAGCCTGAAGCACAGCTCAGCTGCCAACCCTGGAAATGGGTCTTCTGAGTAACCACCAACTGCAATGCCCTCTCTCTCCACTGCACCTCTTTAGGAGATTCATCCCCTCCCATTGTTTCCAACCTACAAAAAGCCAGTGTTATTTCACTCTTTATTTTACTACAGTAACAGAAATCAGGACTTTAAGATCTAGAAGCCAGGATAACTGAAAACACTACACAGATTAAAGGGAAAAAACACAACTCTCAAACTAATCCTGCTGTAATCTTTATGTATCACAATTAGCATCAAACACAATAGGAAGGCCAGCGTCACGTATATGGGAGTTCAGTGTAAAAGGAGCCCAGGCAGCGCAACAATGGGCACGGTACAAACAACTATATAAAACGGACTAGAGGGGTGGTAGGCTTAGGGCACTCCCCATCTCCTGGGGCATGTTAGAGCAATAGCGGGAAGAGCAGAAACCCATATTCGCTCTCTTTACGGCGGCCATTCCACCCGATGGGAACTAAGATAACGGAATAATTCGAATCTTTGAAAGAAAACAAACAAACCCCTTGAATAAAAAAATCCGCCCCGTGCCCGGGGTGAACCCGCCTCGGCCCCAAATCCTCCTTCTCTCGGATTAACCCTCCTCGTCCTCAAAACGACCCCCCCCCTCGCCATTGTTGGGGTTAACCCGCCTCTGCCCCAACTCCTCCCCGGCTAACCCTCCATGCCCCAAATCCCCCCCTTAGCCCTCCCCATACCCTCAAAACACCGCACCCCATCCTCGGGGTTAACCCGCCTCGGCCCCAAATGCTGCCCCGCATGTTAACCCATCTACCCACCGAAAAAAAGCCCCCAGCCCCAGCGCCCGCCTGAACAAACTCCGCCCGAGTTAGCTCCACCCCTTTACCTCACCCAACATGGCGGACGAACCTACCTTAGCCACCGCCGCTCCTCCGACTCTAGTCCTGATGACCCGATTTCATTGGCCACCGTATGGCAAGACGAGAAGTCACTCGCAGCCAATGAAAGGCGAGGACGGCGCACGAACCGCGGAACCCGTCCAGTAGCCGTTCCCGATAGCCATTGGCTCACTTTGCTCCGCCCCGTTGCGCGCGCGCGTCGGCTACTCTGCGCATGCGCAGACAGCTGGTTGTGTCCAATCCGCTCATGGCTTTCGACCAACACCGGGTTCAAACCCCGCCTCCTGCCCGGCGGGGTGTGGTTGGTGGCTGTGGCCCCAACTGAGGAGCCTATGCCGGGCGGGCACGTGCGCCCAGCGGAACTGAGGGGTCGAACGCCGGGATGGAGAAGTGCCGTTAGCTCGGGGTGAGCCTGGCCACGCCCACAGAAGGTGTCTCCCTCCTGCCTTGGGAGGTTCGTCCCGAGCCCGCTATTGCAGGCGCGCGCACCAGCTCGGCCTCGCCCGCAAAGGTACCGTGCCCAGCGGTGGGGATGCGGCATTCGCTCTGCTGCCAGGCCCCTGCCGAGCCCGTGTGGTTTGGTAACCGATGCGTGTCAATGGTCCCCGCTCACGGAAAGGCGAGTGGAGGGGGGTGTTCGCCGCTGCGGGGTCTCGTTAATAAGGCGGCGGGGTCTGGCCTGCCCCGGGAAACAGGGACTGTTGATGTCGGGCTGCTGTTGGAAGGACCCTGCTAGTGGCAGGGAAGTTCCTGTCTCCCCAGTTAACAGCTGCTGTGCTTTCCTATTGTAACTTCTTGTCAACCCTCCCCCAACCCCCCCACGGGAAAATGCACTTGAGGGGAGGGATCAGATCTAGCTGTAATTCCTGAAGTTCTCTTCTCCTTTTTTCATTGCCTAGGTTGCAAATAGTTAAAAACCTCTCTCTGTCAGATCTTTCGGAGCAGTTCTTATTAAAGAACCTTTCCCCAGAAGTTTACAGATGAATGTTAACCAACCACTCCAACGTGCCAGTGTTCCTATTTAGGTCCTGAACCTGCAATCAATAGTACACATGCCTAAGTGACAAGTATCAGAGGGGTAGCCGTGTTAGTCTGAATCTAGTAAAAAGCAACAGAGGGTCCTTTAAGACTAACAGAAGTATTGGGAACATAAGCTTTCGTGGGTAAGAACCTCACTTCTTCAGATGCAAGAAGAAGTGAGGTTCTTACCCACGAAAGCTTATGCTCCCAATACTTCTGTTAGTCTTAAAGGTGCCACAGGACCCTCTGTTGCTCTTTATGCCTAAGTGAGACTTCTCACATGCATACAATCCAGTCAACGTGCATACAGTTAAGCATGTATACTATTGGTTGCAGGATTGGGTCCTCAGATGTTGCTGGATATTCTGATTTGATGGCAAGAATGCATCCACAAATGTGCACCTTGAAAAATTTACACAATGAAATAAAAACTTACACAATCAACTTTAAAAAAAAATCAGATTTCTGTGTGTTATATCTACTGTTATTATAAGTAACTCCCATATCACTAAAGCTAAGAGATTTAGAGGAAATAAGCCAGCTTCACTGTTTTCCCTGTATAGTCTGTCTCTTTCCAGCAAGGGAATGAAGAACATTCTTTTTAAAAAATGTGACTGGTAGGGGGAAATATGTAGGACTCCAGGACAGATGTAGTTCCTGAAGCTACTGTAAATACTTTTTTAGATGCTGACTAGATTTTTAAATTGAGTACATAAAATGTCATCAATTATATGTGAGATTATTACATAATCTCATCAAGGTTCTATTCTGGGGAATTTGGCTGTACAATGCAAAGAGGGGGTTGTTGCTCTTCTGTCATCACTCTCTTTCCTTGGTTGCCAGTACAAAAGGAAGAAGATCTTTGATAATATCACTTTTAAGTAAACTGTAAAACTGTTCAATTTTAGCAGCAGTTTACTCATAGACCAGAAATATGGAAGTAATATCTGTGGTGGAAAGTAATGCCTGATCTTGAAAACAATCACTGTAAATTACTTCAAACCTTCTTTTTCTTTAATTTACAGAGGAATGGAATTTTCTTGGCCCAAAGGAGAATGAAAAGTAGTTTTATGAGACCAAAAGAAGTACTAAGGATTTTGGAGAGATCTCATTGTAACAATAAAGAGTTGCTGGCAACTGAAGATTCGTTTCATGTTTCTTAAATCTTGGTGGTTGTTGGAAATTTAATTGTGCCCCTAATTCAGAATGGAATCTGGCACTTCCCCCAAGAACAACGTAATAAATTGGGGAATTCAGTTCTAGGACAGCAAGTTCATAATGTTCTATTCTAGCCTCAATTTAGTGCAATTAATGTTCTAATTGTTTTTTGAAGCATAACATACATGCATTCAACTACTTCAAAGAATGGAAGAAGAAAAAAGTAAGTTTATTAAAAATAAAGCGTTTTTTATAATCATTAGGCAGATCTTTTGAGGGAGTTTTTTGTAACTAATCTGGGTAGGATTGGCCTGCCTTCATTTGAAAACAGGACCCCAACCTAACTAAATTAGAGTGATTAAAGCTGCTAACGTGACACAGTTTGACTAAAGCCACCGAGTGTGTGCTGACATTTTTTTTAAAAGAATGTATATATCATAGTGGACTAGAAGCAATTTACTTTTCTCTGGCACTTCTGGTTCTATATTTGTAGTACACACCTTGTATTCTTTAGATTATTCAGCACTCTCTTGTGTCCACAATAGCACTTGCCAGAAATACTATATCCTTCCTATGGAGAAAGAGTGCCATCTTATGTGTGCCTATAATCTGTTACTCAAGAAGAACAACTTTAATTTGCTGAGCATTTCTTGGAGTCAAAATTCAGGGTTTTTTCCGAAGCCTATAAGTCTGCCACTGTTTCTAGAGAAGTTTACTTTCAATGCAATTGGTATTTGGCAACTTTAACAGAAAAAAGAGAATCATACACTAAAAGGAAGCAGAAAATGGACATGCCTCGCTGAATACTACAGAAAGTATTGCTGGTCTGGCAACATTTGGTCACTTTTGGGCTGGTAGGAGATGATTCTTGTATAAAAATGAGTACAACCTCACAGACTCCATTTCAACTTGCTGCTTTTAGTGGCAGCTTACCAAGGTCACATCCTAACATGTGTAGCCATAACAGTGGGATGGTTTTCTTTTTCCCCTGTAAGTATGTTCTCAGGCAGTGCTCTCTCAAATGTCTACTGTAGGTAAAGCTAGCTGAATGAAAGCTGTTTGGAGAAACTTGGTAAGAAGCAAGAGGCTGCCAGCATATAATCTCTCTGATCTTTTTATCTAGCTGTTTATACTGTGCCTGTCACATCTGAATGTCTGGATGTGGAGACCCTTAGCAATGTCAGTGGCGAGAGAGGTGAAGGTGATGTCATCTATTTCTTTTCATTATGGGGGGCAGAGGGGACGTGGTGATAAATGAGTAGTGCTTGTGGAAATTATGGTGGGAATGACAACCTGAAGGCTGAAATAATGTCTACCACAGGATAAATATAGCAGGCAGCTGCAGTGCAAGTTCCCTATCCTTAGCTGGAGAAAGACCACCTTGAAAGCTAAGAGAGTGATTACATCTCCATGGCCATTCAGTCCTGGGCCTCTCTGCTGGGACTGCCAAGAAAGGTGCCAAATGTGAGGCGACATCAGTAATGTGGACACCTGTCCACTGAGAATTGGATTGAGAATGTGAACTTGTTTCACATAGGGGCATCAAGCAGCCATGATTCTTTAAAAATAATTATACTAAACTTATTGTCCTAGGATGTTAACACAATAGGTAAAATATGTGAAGTTCTTTGAAGAGAAAAAGCACTAACTGTAATATCAGTAATTTTTATTCACTGTTGACCCTGGGTTGGATTTGAACTGCAGACCCAGAGATGAAAGATTGTGTACCATTGCCAATCCTTTGAGGTATCTAGTTCATCATTAGTATCCAGCCATAACAATTGTTGAAACAGCTGAAAAGAGATACATCACGGAAACAACAGTACAGGGTTGTAATCTTGCTGTGGTGAAACCTGCTATTGAATTTGCTAATACTTAACATAACTTTTTTTTAAATAACCTTTTTTCCACTTTTTTTTAACAAAAATCCCTCAAGGAATAAAAGCACTTATAGTAGTGCAGGGATGTCTCTCAGGATTTGTTGGTTGTTGGAGCTCTGACGTGGGATTCCACCTGACCAGTTTGTGTGTTTTCAGGGGTGGACATTGGTCTTCCTTGTGTTAGCTATCTCTGTGAATACAAGGGTTAGGGAGAAGGTATTAGCAGATGGCAAGTGCCCTCCCCATCCAATCAGCTTAATGGAAAAAGCACTCTCCAAATCTTGCCTCTTAATATTAAAGGTGAGCCCATTGCTGCCACCCATACAGTTGCTGATCTTGCACTCATAAGAGAGCTTTGTGTTCCCCTTCCCCCTCCAGAAACCAGCTTCCTTTACATTACTCAACAGTTGCCATCTTTGGTAAATAGAAACCATCCTGCCTAAGGAAACTATACCAGCTGTGGAAATATTTATTCATGTTCTTGCAAATACCCAAATATGTTATCCTCTGACTTCTTAGCTAGAAGATAATATGCAGAGCCATTTGATGTCTGAGGATATTTACCCATCCAAATTAGCAGTCTGAGACAAGAACATAGAGATTCCTCTCTAAATATGATACAGATATTTAGAAATTAGTTAAGTGATAAAATAGATCTAGTTCTTCCTGGATTCTTTCATAGGCAAATAAGGAGCATCTTAATACCAATAATACATTTCCTTATCCTGACTGATTATGTGACATATTGAAGCAATACACTTTTTATTAGAGACCTTTCCAGTTAAAATATTGGCAGCACTAGGCATTCCCACAAAAGGCTTCCCCATTTAGACTGTAGACTGCGGGCTCGTGCTTTGCAAGAGAGAGGAGGAGTGTGAGGACAGGGACTCTTATTAATTGGTTTTTCCATTTTAAAAAGAACACTTTTTATGACCATATCCAAGGAGGGAGGTATGCTTCTTGGTGTGGTATAAGTTAATAAAACTAACACCACTTGGCAAACAAACTTGTTAAGGTGCACTTGCCTGAAAATGTTTTTTTTTCTGGTAAATATACTGAGTATATTCTTAGGATAGCACAGTTATCAACTTGTGGGGATGTGAAGAACATGTAAAAGCTTGG